CTCCCCGAGTTTGCAAACAGCCTGCAGAGCAGGGCGGGCGGCCGCCGGACAGACAGCTCGGCCTGCGCTCGGGCAGGTGCGGCCTCCAAGAGTCCGCGGCCAGCCAACGGGCGGGGGGAGAGAATGTCCTCAGAGTCCACGCGTGGCAGTCACTGGGTCACTGCAGACCTGGCGAGGGCCACACCCCTGCTCTGCTCGTGCTCGGCCCCTCCCCGAGCCCTGCCCCACAAACGGCTGTCCCCAGGCACCCACGGGAGCGAGGGAGAAAAGCGATGACGCCGCGGAAGAGCTAGTGACGCAGAGAACGAAGGGTGAGCGTGTCCCGGGCAGGAAAGAGGATGTGTGCGTGCAACTGCGTGATTCGCATAAGGAAATGCATTTTTAATTGAGATAAAATTGACGTATAACGTTGTCTAAGTTTAAGGTGCAGAACATAATGATCTGACATGTGTAGACGTTGCAAAATGGTTACCCCCATAAGTCTAGTCAATTTCCATTGCTATAGAATCACCACCATTTTCTTGGGATGAGAATTTTTAAGATCTCTCTCAGCACCTTTCAAATGTGCAATGCAGTATTGTTACCTATTGTCACTGCGCTGTGCATTACGCCTACAGAAAATGATTTTAAACGTTACGTGCCCCAGCGGTCAAGGGGTCAAGCAAGAGGGGAGCCCTGCTGGCAAACCTCTGAAGGAGGACGGCACAGTGGCCCACGAGTGAACAAAAAATGTCCAGGTTGTCTTGGGCTCCTTCACATTGCACGGTTTCAGACCAATTTTAAATTCACACAGGTCTATATTAGAAAAGGCAAACGAGGCGTCCTTAGCTTTTCAATTCTTTGCAACAATTGCACCTAATCCAGATAATCTAGTGAGAACCAGTCCAAGTTGAAACAAGGGTCACAACCAGACATTATTGAGGGAAGTTCAGAAATGCCCAGAGGTGACTGAGGGTGCGGGGTGCTCTCTCTGCCGCACCGCGGCCCCGCCCCTGCCTGCCCCCTGGGCGTGGGCCCCCCCGCACCTCCCTCGCGGGCCCCTTCTCTTTCACTGGCTTAGCTGTCACTGCTGTCCCTGGATGACCTCACTCGTACTCAGGACCTTTGTACTGGGCTGGCTAAAAAGTCCCTATGGTTTTTTTTGCCATTAAATGAGATACATTTTTCATTTTCGCCAATAACTTTATTGATTTGGATATTTGGAGTATGTCAGCTGTCTCCCGCGTGGTAGAACATCGATTGTTCTCAATTAAGGTCTCGATGTGATCGTTATTAACTTTAGCTGGTCCACCCGACCGTGGAGCAACATCCAGCGAGAAACCTCCAGCACAAAGCTTCGCCAACCACTTTTGACATATTTGCTCAGTCACAGCGCCTTCTCCATACGCTGCACAAATACTTTGTTTCAGTTGCATTTTTACCTTTCTTGAAATACTAAAGCATCACATGCTGAAAATGTTGCGTATTTTCTTCCATCTTCAATATTAAAATGGCTGCACAAAAAGTCACCGCTCTTGATAACGTTTTTTAAATGCCCGCTGATAGGACAGCTGTCGCAATACCATCTAACGCAGTTGTTTCAAATGAAGTTAACGACAACTAAGTGCTGCTAGAGCCTCTCACGGGATGAGAGCAAACGAACTTCTGGGCCACCCCCCCGCTTGAGCACAACAATGGGCTCCCGCCTCTGTCCCCGGCTGACGCCCCGCTGAGCTCCAGACCCGCAGGCCCAGCTGCACCCTGGACGCCTCCGCGGGGCTCTGGCCCCTCAGGGACCTCGGCGCGTCTCGCCTGCCCCGGCCTGGACCCTGGCCAGACTCCACGCACCTCCCCCGACAGCTGTCCCCTGCCTCGGGGGAGGGTGCCTCCGCCACCCAGCTGCCCACGCCAGGAGGAGTCGGGTCACCCTTACTGCTGGACGACAAGGATGACAGTAATAGCAGCGCCTCTTCTGATTTTCATAGGTGGTTGTGAGACTTAACCGAGGTCGACGGAAGGAGCTTAGCACAGCACCGAGCGCACAGTAACCGCTCACGCAACGGCAGCCTTGCCTTCTAGTGTTTACCTGGCAACGCAAGGCATTTTTAAAAAAATTGCTAATGTTTTAAATAATGCAATACAAATGTCTAAAAACACATATTTATAGAAGTGAGGCCTGGCTGGTGTGACTCAGTGGATTGAGCACTGGCCTGCGAACCAAAGGGTCACCAGTTCGATTCCCAATCAAAGCACAGGCCTGGGTTGTGGGCCAGGTCCCTCGTGTGGGGCGCGCGAGAGGCAGCCACACATGGATGTTTCTCTCCCTCTCTTTCTCCCTCCCTTCCCCTCTCTATAAAAATAAATTCTTTAAAAAATATATATGTATAAGTGAATAACATCAAAAATACGAACTTCTCCTCTCAATCTACTGTCCTGTTTTGTAGTTTCTTGTGTATTCTTCCTGAAAGTTTAGGAATATACGTCATTTGGAGTAGCTGGGTAGAAGAGCTTACATAAGAGGCCACTTTAAATACAAAGATTTATGTTTTTCATACCCGCTTATGAATATACGTGAGATGCCCTGTGTTTGCGCTGGCCATGTCTGTCCCCCGAGCCTGCTCCCGCACTATACAGGTGACATTGGGCGAGGTTTAGGTGGGAAGTAGGGGAGGGGATGAAGGTAGCTTTTCTGCACATTAATTTGTTTTTTTTTTTTAAATGTTGCCCTGGCAGGGTGGCTCAGTTGGTAGGAACGTTGTCCCATATACCAAAAAAAAAAAGGTCGCAGGTTCAGTCCTTTGTTGGGGGGCATACAGGAGGCGACCAACTGATACTTCTCCCTCACGTAGGTATTTGCCCCCCCATCCCTCCCTTCCCCCCTCTTTAAAATCAATAAGCATGTCCTCAGGTGAGGATTAATAAATAAATAAATAAATAAAATCACTACTTATTGGCATTTGTACTTATTGACCGACAGAATTTTAAGGGCAGACGGGACTATGCTTATCATGTGAGCCCATATATTCTTCTCCCCATGGTTTGTCCAAGGCCTCCGTCCAGATCATGGCCATAGAGACATAGAAGGCATAACGCAATATAGAATACTGTACACCTTCTGTCATATTCTAACGAGAACCTACTTAAAATATATTGCCAACAGTCATTAATCCCACCGTTGTTGAATGTTATTTAATGCGTTGAAATCAATTATGCATCTTTGTGTGTCGAGGTAAACTACCAATGCAATATTTGCCACCCCTGTGTCCTGGCTCCCTACCCCACCCCATACGAAAATCATTGTCACTAATGACCCTTTCAAACGTCAAGGGCACTGACAGACGCACCGGGTAACCCTAATCCATCCCCGGCCCCCACTACCCAGCGCGGAAGAGAGCGGAAACCCTTGGTCTGCACGCGCTATGATTAACGAGCGCTCACTGAAAGCGTAGGTGCGCCGCGGCCGACTGGCCGGCTCCGGGGGAGAGACTGAGAGGCCGCCTCGGGCGTCAGGCCCACAGCGATCTGTGCGGCTCCGAAAACCAAAATGCCAACAGGCCTTATTGCTTTCTCCTTAAAAGTCTCATTCTGGACCTTTGATTTGCTGCAATTTACCTTCAAGGTGACGAACTGTGCAAGTGATTTTGACCCCCTGGATGTTCCTACATTCAGAAATAGTTCCAGTTTCAATCATCTTGCTAGGAACTCAGATTTGCAATTAAGTTTTTATTACTCAGGGGGCAAAACATCTTTCAATTAAAAACTCAACCTGGAACTTCCAAACAGAATTGTAACTGTGCTTGTTAAAATAACAGAAACTGTAGGTGCTGTTCGGACTTGCAGTAACACACAGTCACAGAGCACCTACTATGTGCCAGGGCTGCCTGAGGTGGCGCAGCCACGGGGAGGCGCGGTCGCCACCCCGGGGCCCGGCCTGCCGCAAAGGCCGCTGACCGGCCTCGCTTCCGAGAACTGGAAGCGAGAGCCGCCCGTCTACAGAGTCCAGGCCAGATGCAGGTCCTCCCTGCCATCCACGTCCTCGGGGCGTATATTTCCAAGCCAAACAAACAGGCAGCACTGTTCAACGACTCTCCCAGGCCAAACTGGGACCCAGGACATTGTCTGTGTCCACTGGTGAGAAGCTCCAGAAAGTCGCAGGGGAGGAAAACCCCTGCAGGTAGCACTTCCAGGAGACCTTTCGCTCCCCAGCCCTTCACCCATCTTGTCTTCCTTTGTCTACCTGGCAGAGGCCACCTGCCTCTGGCTACGGCCCCTTCACGATTCCGCCTTAGCTCGGCATTTCAAACGTGCACGGACAGGTGCTGCCCACGGAGCTTGAACAGAAAGCCTGAGACCAGCTCTGTCACTGTGCGCGCGCGCGAGAGAGAAGGTGGATGGAATCGCGGTGCCTGGCGGCTCTGCCACGTGAGTGCCTGACTCGCTGCACATCGGTTCCCAGGTTGAAAAGCACCGTCATTCCCCTCCGCCTGCAGGCCCCCCCCCTTCCCTGCTTCCCACTCTCTGCCATGAGGGAACCCTGTGTCTTGGCAGGACTCCCACGCAGGGAAAGAGACCCCCCACGGGCTCTGCTCAGCCCAGCTCCCTCCGCCCCTGCCTCTGTCCCTGGCCCCTCCTGCGGCCCGTCCCGCTGTGACTTCGCCTTTGGCCTCTGTCTCACCCGCTGCTCCTGGGCCCTGAGAACCCCAGCTCGCGCACCTCCAGCCAAATGTCCTCCTTCCTGATATTTTTGGAGAGAGAGCTGCCACAGGAATGGTTCCAATGATAACAACTCTCACTTTCTCTTTGCTTTTCCAATCTATTTTCTGAAGCCTCCTCCTAAGATCTAAGCTCCATGAAACCAGGTCTGATCGTGCTCACTGCAGTACAGACTGAGAACAGGGACTCGTGCTGTGCACATAGTAGGCACTCAGTGAATACGTAACCGAACTACTGAACTCGCCCCTCCACACAGTGCTGCCCATTGGAGACAATTGAAACAAACAGGAACACGCCGCATGACTTACCTGTAAAGGGGTTCTACAAGGTCCTTTTCAAGAAAATCATGATCATTTTTAACAGCCAAAATGTTGATGGGAAACTGTGAATCTGGAAGAGATAAAGAGGGAGACAAGGGGTTTAGGAGCCTCGTTTAACCTGGGTGACCTGTCCTTAGGCCCCCCTTTGGGTACACACGCATGATCTTGGCGGGGAGCGTGTTGGCACCGTTTAAGATGGCAAGCGGTTTTATATTTATCACCATGAAGGCTTTGAAGGGTACAAAGGGAGAATGAAATATGAGAATTACCTTGACCTTGGGTAGGACTGAATACTAAATACCTGCATTTTTATAGCTCATCATTATGAAGACATTTGTCTGCATGGAGAAGCACTTTCACACCTTGCCCTTTTACCTAAGGCTTCTCACTGCCATCCTGACCAGTTCATGAAATATTTAATTTGGCACACGTTTGTTGTGGGTTTTTTCCCCCCCTCTTTTGGAAAACAATTTCCAAAAATACCCACAGTTCGATGGCCTCAAATTTTTCTTCTGTAGCAAAATCTTGAATTGCTTTAGAGTATAAGCAAAATACTCAAACAACTGATTTTATCTGAAGAGACAGATTCCACCACCATGACCTCATCAGACCCACAGTCTGTTTGCGCAGGGGCTGGAGGCCAAGGGCAGCGCTCAGGACGCCATGCGCGTCGGAGGGACCTCGGTCGCAGGGCAGATCTGGAGGTCGCCAGGACGGAGGGGCGGTCAGACCTCCCGGACGACGCCGGCTCATTGCCACTACCCTCCACTCTTTCTCGCTCTCACTTCATCGTTTGCTCTGCTTCCACCTCGCCCGCCACAATGCATCTTAGGGGGTCTAAACCCTAGTGTGCGCTGGAAACAGAGACCGGCCCTTTTCTGGTGAAAAAAGCAACGTGAGTGAATCGGAGACGGTGCCAGGATGGAGGCTGCCATGCGCTGCTGGGCGGGGCCTGTGCGTGGGGGGAGGGGCAGGGACACCCAAGCCAGCCCTGGCTTTCGGTCCCAGCTCTTGACAAGGCGCTTGACCTCTTCTGGGCCTGTTTCTTCATCTGTGAAGTGGGGAGATGGTAACTGAAATGCTCTGCAGTGTTGTGAATATTAAATGGTGAGCCATGGAAAGTGCTTTGAACAGAGCCTGGCCCACTGTAAGTCCTACGCGGCGTCTGCTGTTATCCTTATCACATCTGTTCCGTGAATACGGCTTAAACACAGCCTGCCAGACGCCCTGCACGTAGGACGCATCTTTACTTCTTGGGCATTTATGGACACTTCATGTTTGAATCACACAGTATTTTGAGTTTACAAAGAGGGTGCACGTTCTAGTAGAGAACATACTGCATTAAAAGCTCAAGAGACCGTATTTTTAGCTCTGACTCTTCCACCTTTTAATCTTGGAAACGTCTCTTGCTCTCTCTGGGCCTCTCTTTCCTAATCAGAGAATTGGGAGTGGCGTGGGCTGCGGTGGCGTGAGGGCTGCTTAGACCAAAATGATAAGGCCCTTTCTTGCCTAAAAGGCTACGATTCTATGAAAGCTTTTTCAGAGGTTCTAGACTTCAAAGCACACTCAGAGGTAAGCTCTCCTTTATCTTCACAGAATTTAAGCAAGAGAAGCAGAAGAAGCGAGTTTTGTTTTGTTTTGCTTTTTAAACTCGAAAACAGCTTCTAGGTGAGTGGCTGCGATCCACTGTGAGTCCAGGTTAGTTCCGTTGGTCCTTCCTGCCCTGCCCTACCTAAGTGCTTTGCCGCCAGGAGGAGTGGCTGCTATTGTCTCCACCGGCCTGCAGTGAACCGCGGAATGAACACCTTTAGAAGTCAATCCTCCTCTGATTATTCTTGGGATCCTGACCAGGGACTCTCCGAGAAGTCGTCAGAAGTCTTGGTTACAGTGAAGGGATAAGTAAGATAGAGGGAGTACTTTTATTAACGGTCAGCGAAAACATCAACGAAAGGAGGTATTACACTAGCAATCAAAGCACCTTACTTAAACCGCCTTCACATCTGACCAAAATGATGTCTTAAAAAGTACCTATAGACTAAGCAGCGCTGAAGATAAGTCTCAAGACGATCAGTTTTGTTATTTCTAGGAAATTTACCAACAACGAATTTATTGTGCTCGCAAGAAAACTGAGAGCGGTGAAGAACAAGGTCGGGGTGGGGGGCGGTTCGTGCAGGGGCTGCTGGTGGCAGAGCTGCTGGGAGGGACAGAGCCGGGGTCGGTGGCCAGGAGCTGAGGCCAGAGGGGGCAGCGCTTGGCCAAGGCTCCGTTTTAAATGGGCATCGGTGTGAGCCCTGGCCACTGCGAAGCTGAGGGAAAGAGACAATTTAAAAACAAACAAAGGCAAGAGAAGGCTCGGAAGTGAAAACACAGCCCGGCAAACACGCGGTGTACTCTTCGGTCGCTCTCTTCAGGAGGAGCCAGCACACCCGACCTACCCTCGTACAGCTGGGCGTACTGCGGGAACCCGGCAGCCCGGAGCCAGTTGCATGCCTCCTTGGCCTCGATTTCTGAAAGACACAAGAAGGGGAGAGGGTGAGTCCCAGGGCCACGCACTAGCGCTCTGCCTTCTTGGTCCCGGGGACACTACGGAAGCGCCGCGCAGGCTGCTACAGAGCAGCTCGACCCCAGGCAAGCGTGCGGAAGCGGGCCTCCGGGAAGCGGGTGTGAATGAGCGCGCAGCGCCCAGGCACTTCGTGTGCGTCTATGAAGACTACCTGTAATGTCGATCCATACGTATCTGGATAATGACAAAACCACAGATCACAGAACCCAAAGGCTGAGTGTCAGGCAGGGAAAAAGCCTTCATTGATACACCGGGGAGTAGAGGACTAGGGAGGAAGAAATCGTTCCTTAGGATCCTTTTCTTAAACCAATTTTTTTCGCTTTCGAAGACAAGGCCAAGAATATTGATGAACATTCCTTTATTCTTTTACTCTTGGGATACGGAAAGAAAGAATACAACGCTAGGAAAATGTATTTCCTATAGAAAGGCATCACAGAAATCCAGTGTATTATTATTTCTTTAATCTTCCAATGGCTTTAATTCCCGGCACCTTAAAACAAGACGTCCCTCCACTCAGTGCATGAGAATGGCTCCGGCCACAGAGGGCCGCTTCTCAGGAGGTGGCACACGAGTTTGAGGGGCTGCAGCACCCCTGGGGGACCCCCTTCTGGGAGGACGTTCCCCCAGCACACGGGCCGCCTGCCTGGGGGAGCTGTGGCGGAGACGGGAAGGGCCTCCGCGATGTGAAGCCTGCACCACGTCCCAGCCACGCCGCCGGTAGACGAATACAAATGCAAGAGCAAAGAGGCTCGTCTGTCCGAAGTCCACTTTCTCCTGGCGAGATGAAACAGCTATTATGACAGGTGTTTCCTGTGCTGTTCCCTTTCCCCACAGCCAAAGCCAAAGTGTGCGGGGAGTGGGGGTGGGGGGACACCGCCCCAAAGCGAGCGCGCGCCGCCCGCCCGTCAGCGGTAGGGCTGAGCCCGCGCGTCCACGGGAAAGCTCGTTGCCTGCGCAGGGTCCCGTTCCACGTGACGAGCTCTCTCTCCGCTCTGTCCTAGAAAAACCAGCCGACGGCCCGAGCTTGCACAGGCCCCAAAGGGAGGAGCGAGCACCTAGTTCCTGGCCCACTGATCTGGCTGGACGCGGACTGAGACTTGCCCTTCAGCGCGGGGAGACGGAGCCTGCGGGAGGCCTCTGTCGGGAAGCGCCTGCGTGGGTGGGCACCCCAGCCCACTGCCACTCCAGTGGCCGGCAGTTTCTAGACCCTGGGCGTTCTCTCTGACACGGTGGCTGCCGTCGCAGACGGACTGCGTTCATTCCTGATGTGTCCCCGTCGCTCAGACACGCCCGGGGACCTAGCGGGAAGCAGGCGCTGTGGGGAGCCTCTCTACCAGGCGCGGCCACAAGTTCAAGTCCGTCCACAGACCGGCACCCCACACCCCTTGGTCTAAAAAGGCCAAAGAACGTCGGTATCTTGAACCCATCGCTGTCTGGGGGCTGAAATCAAATGGTTGAAAAGGTGGATGTCACCTGGACATCCTTTTTTCAACTGGATGCTTGCTCTGTACCCAAACCAAAAAGCCCTCTTCACCCCTGTAGATCCAGAAGACGGCTTGGTGCTCAGCACAGTCTTCTGCCGCGTCTCTGATTCTCCTTGAGGGCCGGTTACTTGGTTTGACTCAGGTGCACATGCTCAGAACATGATGGGACTCCCGTCCGGAGACAGGCACAGCGGGGGTGGGGGGCTGTCTCCCTGGCTGCCCAGCAGGTGCACGGCCATGGGCATGAGAATCAAGTGGCTGTGGAAACAGACCAGGGCCTGCGGCGCCGTTAAAAGTGCTACCATGCTCCTTAATTATGCACGCTCAGGGGCAAAAATCGAGCACACACAGAAAGGCACAAGGGGAGGAAGAAGTCAGCTCCTGGCCCATTACTGACACCTGTTTCAATGCTGTACTTGTTGAAATGGTGATGTGGTAACATCTTTGGTGGACGATTTTTTTCACATAATAATACATTATGAATATTTCCCCGTATGATGATAATGTGGGCCAAAAAAAAAAAAACCCCAAAAAACAAAAACAGAAACCAAAAACCAAAAAGAAAAACCACAGGGTATTTACTCTGTTTTGCGATTGCTGCCTGTTTCCTAAATACTTGGTTTCTGAGCTCGGCCAATTGTGTTTCACTGCTGCGAGGTTGTACCATCCAAGCCAAAGGAGACAGACCAGGAGGGCCACACCAACAGAGACGGATTGTGGGGGCAGCTGGGAGCCAACCTGACTTAAAAGAGGTTGACACGCTGTTCCCTGAAAGGAATGTCCCGCGGCGGTGTCGGCAGCAGGCGGCGGACCCGGCTCGGGCAGGTAAGGAGTCACGTGGAGCACAGCGAGCTGGCTGCAGGGTTGCCGGCCTTGGCTCAGACTTCAGGCTCGTTGGATTGTTAAACTGGTGTTTCTAGAATGCTCGGGAACAGTGTGTCCTCCCAGCCAAGCACTTGAAGTACATTTTGGTTTCCACGAATCTGAGCATAGCCAATAGTTTTTTTCATAGCTAACCCAAAGGAATACTATTCTTTCAAAATGACCACAAATTTAAATTTGGGCCCATATTAAACTTTACCATCATCAGAAAGCTAGCTGGCTGGAAGGAACCTGGTCTCCTGTGGATAGTTTATAAAATGATTATATACGGGCATATAGTGATATTGTTCTTACGAATCTGGAATGTCAGCGGACAAGCTGGCTCCCATGGAAGTTCGTCTTCTTTCTTAGAGACTCATTAGAAGGACCCAGGAGAAGCCGGGGAGAAAAGACACCAGGATCTCCCTGTGACTTAGGCAAGCTGGCTGGGGCACGGCATTTTGTTTTTCATTTAAAGTGGTGAAGGAGGCGGGCACCCTGTTTCTGAAAGATGGTGGGAGACTCTGCCACCACAAGGTGCCTGCCGTGAGCGCGATCACCGCTCTCAAAGCCTGCCGCTGGCATTAGCGGCTCCATGGGCTCACGGCGGCCAGCTCAGGGCGGGTCCTGTTGGCTGAGTTAACTTCCTTACTCACGCACTACGTAGGACCAACGACTCCTTTGTCCTCAGGTGAATTTCTCCTGTGAGGCCCTAGGTAGCGAGGGCATATTCACTGGGCCGGCCACAGGCCGGTTTTGTTACAGTCAATGCCGGAGTATCTGCCTTGTCCATATGCGAATGGGAACGATGGACGTCAGACGGACCCAGAGACCACCTCCTGGGGGGCTCCCTAACCTTAATCACAAGTGCAGGATGCAAGGTCCCGTTTCGATCTCGGCCCCAGGTCACAGCAGCAGGCTCCATCGCTTCACACTCTCAGAATGACATGAGGGTTTAGTGCTACGTAGGAAGGTCTGAATAAGTCTTAAATGTAGACCAAATATATGTATTTTTTCTAATGTGTATAACATTTTCCTTCCATGGCATTTTAAGTTACTAACAGAAGTCAAAATACAGGTTATTTAGAATAAATTTAAGATTATTAACCACTGAATATTCATCAGTGGAAAGCTAATAAACGCTCATTTCAGCTCCCCAGAACTTATTCCGCTCCTTGATGCGCAGCAGAATAGCTTGCTGTCAGCTGATATATAACTGCAGGAGAAAGAAATCTGGGACATGGATATATTCCTGAGACGCTGAATTGCACCCCATTTACACAGAGATTCATGGCTGTGTTTATGTGTATTTCTTTCGGGAAAACATGAATCACGGACGTGCTGAGACATACTATTCCATCACCCACCAATTCTTAACACCAGCGTTTTTTCCCCAGGACTTGCAGTCTCTCCTGCAAGCTGGATTCATAGCAAATCCAGCCACTTAAAAATCATTTCTGTTATTGCAAAAGAGGTCCATGCAAATTTTATACCTAAGTGGTAGGTCTATTCCTAGTCTCTCGAGGGTGGTTTTAAATCACTCTTTTCAGTGTGGTTCAGAAAATCACATCCAAAGATGATAGAGTGTTTACACAGTAAAAAGTAATTTTCTCAACTGCACTAAAGAGGTGCTTTATGTAAAATTTAGTATTTATATAAATAGTAAAACGTGCTTTTTATGTTGTGTAACATCCATTTAATACTTATTGATTATCAAGTTGTTTAATTATGAAATTTATAACAAAAACATATACACACAAACACACGTGTCCTTCCTTCCATGTTCCCCGCCAGTCCCTGCCCTTCCCAGCGGCCACGTAACCCGCAGGCGTCCTCCAGGCGGGAGGCGCTCGCGTCCCACCCCGCGGCCGCATCGCTCGGCCGGACGCCGCTTGGGCCCGCGCGCCGAGAGCGGAAGGGACGCCTGCTGGTCTCCGGCAAAGCGCGGCAGGGGCGTCCGCTGGCCCTGCCCGCTCTCCTGCGCCCTCTCTCTCCCGCGAGGCCTCAGACACAGGCTGTCCCCTCGGCCTGGCCCCCAGGAGGACGGCTTCGGGGTGGGGCGGGGGGTCACCCCAGAGCCGCTGCCGACAGGCGATGCGAGCAAGGTTTTATGCCACCGCCACGTGGAGGACCATTTGTGACAGTGGCGTAACCTGGCCCCAGCTCACTTAGCACAGCTTCCAGCCGTGCGCCGCTCAGAGGGAACACACGGGGGACTCGGGGGCTTGGTTCCAACGTGAAACCGCGGCTGAACCCCCATCGGCGTGTCACAGGCGTGAACACGGTGCCTCGCCGTAGTCATTTCCGCTGGGAATAATGCTCCCCGCGTGGGCTCTGTGGCTGTGAAAAGGGTAAACCGCCGTCCCTGCTCACCGCTCCTCCGCCCCGCACGCGTGAGTGGGGGCACACGCCACGGGCACGCACAGCGCCTGCAGAAAGGCAGGTGGTCCGCGGCAGCTGGACAAGACATTCTACACGCGCCCGCGTGTGCGCACACACACACTATCCTTAGGGCCCCTGTCCCTAATAATATAAAAAAATATAAAGGCACACCCCACAACCAATCTCAGAGACAAAGCAAGCAGAGAACGCGTCCCCT